ATATTTCAAATACATTAGTCCTTTACCTTAACCCATTTTTTAAAGTTTTGTGAATATTCTTCCTTGTTTTGAAAAACCAAAATCCACCTACACATTTGAATTTCATAAATACTAGAAGTGTGTGCCATTTCTTAAGCAAAACAAAACAAGCACTCCTCTTTAGGAATCTTTACTTCTTTGGAAGACATTGTTAAATCTATAGAACTATAATCCTAAGTACAATAAAATTACCTATGAGGAGATGAAACCATTTTGTCTATCATATCTACATGTCAACAGCGTAGTCATGAAAATTGGCCCAGTAATAATATTCAGAGTTTGCCATGATCTGCAAAAAATGGATTAAATTTAAGAATAACCTTTATAACTAATGGAATAAAGTATTTTGAATTTGAATTTGAGTTTCCTCATGGACCATCACAGTTTCGCAGACTTCTTATCCAAGTTAGCTTTCTTCAGAGAGCCAATTACTCCACAGCTTTGACTCGCTTTAAAAATTATCCCTAGGGTTGAAATGAATAGCTCAGTTTTCTGGGTTATATCTGGGTTTTTGAATAACTCTAGGATCTCAAATTAGTGTTACAAACCCTCTACACTGTGATGTCTGAGACTGCCTATGCTAGATGAATGGTTAATGGTTATTTATAAGCATGGGACTTTTTTTCTGAAGTGAAACTGGGAATCAATAATACAAAAGCTTCCTCAGTGTAAAGCCGTGTTTGCAGTATATCAACATACCAAAACATGTATGCCAAATCCATTTTCAATTTTTGTTCACTAACCAATTTGTACTACTGTTCTTATTTTTGTTTACTAAGCCTTACCTTTGTAGAGTTTATGGAGAAGGGAAATGCATACAAAGTTATTGTATTTTAACGTTTTTCAGTTCATTTCAATAAAAAGTAACAGACAACTTAATAAAAGATATTTATCATAAACAAAAGGTGCATTTTGGAAGCCTATCATTATAGAGCTGAAAATAAAATCTAAATATCTAGGTCCTTAGAAATATCAGGCCGTTTACACAAGAAAAAATAAATAGTCTGTGACAGCATGTGTAAATTCATGTGCAAGGATGAATAGAGCCAAAACAATTTATGACAACCTTATGCACATAGGATTGAAGGCTCACAAGCTCAAGTCACACATTTTGCCACATTTGTATTCCTATAATGCCACACAAGACACTCATTCAATACAAAAGATGAAATTATACGAAAATAAAACCACAACTTGCTTCCATACATCTGAAGGAAAGAAAAAGCACTCAAAATTGTTATTTATATTACTACATCTCCTTGCACGAACACTTGACATGATATTTGTCACAGAAAAATCTTATGCCCCCTGTACAAAACTTAGATTTTATATGGTTCTAATTGCATAAAGTCAAGAAATATTCAATGTTCCTTTTTACTGAATTACTATATTACCAAAAACATGCAGCTGATATTCACAATGTATAAAAATTCATGTCTCGTTCTGGTCATCTTATACCCTTGTGCGAACTGCTCATCTACACTATTCCAATATCACTTATGGAGAGTAGTTCCACCTGGGTTGAACTCTCAATACATATTTTGCCAAATCACAATGTTGCTCGCCACTGTCGTCGTTAAATACTTCATCAATCTGCATAAATATTGACAGGAATTTTATATACAAATACTTTATACTTGTGCTTTTACAAAGGATGAAACCACTGGAATGTTACATAAATATTCCCAATCAGGCTTCAAGTAAATGGGTGTAAACAAAATGTAAATTTACCTATTTTTCAATTCTCTTCTCGCCTGCAATAGTTTACTGCTAGTCTCCTAACTAGTCTTAGAATGCCAAAAGGCACTACTGTACATGAAGTTAAGCATCGACCAATATTACTCATTTTTTCTGTCCTCCAATAAAATGTATCAAGCAAAGTTCCTAAGGTGCACACCCCACCACATACAATTCACAGCTTTCTGGAGGTGTTCCAGACTGATTCTATGGGCATTGCTTTTTTTAGGGATAGGTTAAACACAAGCCTTTCACAAAGCAGTTAGGATGTTATACCCCTTTGTTCTATTCAGTTTCGAGACACAATGAAAGTATACATGCAAAATTGTCCTTAGAAGTTGTATTGATAAACTCTCTGCAGAAGGTATCAAAGAGATGGGGAAGCCAGTCGGCTCTAAGTGTTGCAGTGGGAAGTGCTGGCCCTCCACTCGTGTGACAGGCAGCACCACTTTCCAGACCCCTGCCTTTAGGCTGGCAGCTGGAGCTTCTTTCCCTGTAACACTGTGAAGAAACAAATAAATTAGGCATCAAATTGGAGCAGCGGCAAAATTAACTAGCAGCCACACTGAGTTTTGGTGCATACTATAGTTTTCTCAAGTCAGTGAATTGTATATTTTCTAACAAACTAGGAAGTTTAAGAATATGTCCCCTGTATAGTCCCCTAAACTTATGTCAAATATACAATTAGATAACATAGTAATATCTAAACATATCAAATAATTATTACAACAAAAAAAATCCACATATCCTTTAACATTTTCTTTAGAATCCATTTTCTGTACCTCTCTCAAAAGTTCAATTCAATACTTATAATGAATATAATACCATCTGATTTTTAAACATTACTAATACAGCCACAGTTTTTTGTTTATTATCTAAGCCTACATCTAGTTATCTGTATATTAAATGAACATATTACCTTTTGTAATGTAAAGGTAGAAGAAATCACAGTAGAGGACTGTCTGCACAACACCAGCAACAATGGCAATCAAGTCGTAGAATCCTTCCGCATAATAACGGTATACCTGGAATATCACCCAAGTGTCAATTATACAAATACACATCACAATTATTATATAACAGCAAATGAATCTTCCTGAAAGTCTGAAGACCATGAAAAGAACATCTCATTTAACCTTAAATCACAAAAAACATCCACATCAACTGCTGAATCTGATATATCATCTCACCCAGTTGAAGATGTACAGAGCACGGTATGAGCCCAATGCAAATAGGTAATGGGAGGTGATGCTCTCAGCTTCACCAGTCTTCGACACCATGAACAACTGAGGAAGGATAGCTACAGTCTCAAGGTAGATGCTGAAAGTCCACAGGACCTGAAAAATAAAAAAGTATATGTTGAGTGTAAATGTACATATCAAAATATCTTTTTTCATATTTACAGATACAAGTGTGCTAGCATGTATGCACATCGAATTCAGATTGGTTTATAAACTCAAAATTACGGGAACACAAATTTACTCATCGAAAAGCTCCCTGCTCCTAATCTCTAGGCACAGAGTACGGGTAATCATTTTCTTTCTCTTTATATCGCGTGGTCATGGTCGAATCCATTCTTTTGGACGAGTACATATATATATCTGAATGCTTAGGCGTCAAAGGCTGTAGAGTGCCTTAGGACTGTATGGTAGTGAGAAGGGTAAAGAGGGAAGAGCAAATAGAATACAGCAGGGATTTGCGAAAGGGGAAGGGGTTCAGGGTATAGGGCGATTAGATCAAATGGAGAATATCAGAGCATCTATGCATCTGAGGAAGAGAGTGTAACACTATACAAGAAAAACTGCAAAAGAGCCAATATGAATGGTTAATGGTTAATATGGGTAGGAATGATAGTTGGAGAAGTAGGAGAATAATCCAGAGAACAAGATAAGGGAACGAGGGAAGGTGGTGAAGTATCAGGAAGAATGTCAGGAGGGGAGGGATCTGGAGAAGGACATTGTTAGTCTCATCTAGGTGCGTGCGTGCGTGTGTGCGTGTGCGTGTGTGTGTGTGGGTGGGGGGTGGGGGGGGGGGGGGGTGTTTAAGGATAATGGGAAAGGAAGAAGGAATGGTAGTACACATAGAGGAAAGGATGGTGTGTTTAGGGGGGAGACTGGGAGGAGGAGGGGTATTGGGGGAACTTGACAAGATGATGGATATCAGCAAATACTTTGAATGCAGAGAAGAATAGGAATAGAGGGACTGGAGGGTAGATGAGGGAGAAGAGAGAAAAGATGTCCAAGGAGCAGAGGAAAAGGTGGGTAAAGAGAAAGGATGGGGTGGAACATTTAAATTGTCTAGTTCAACAGGTAGGGTGAGAAGGAGGGGGTAGGCATTAGATGAGATGGGAGTATCTGGATTTAGGCTGGAAAAGGAGAGAGATAGTAGAGGTAGGATGGTTTGGGGTAGAGGGAAGAGATACTGGGGGATATGTCACGACATCTTGAGAAAATGGGCAGGGAGTAGAGTGAAGGATAATTTTGGAATTGGTAGAAACAGAAAAAACCTTGCCTGTGAGATTCTGGCCTCGCACAGAGTGAGGCGTAGTTTGAACCCAAGAACTGCTGCCTCAGATTCTAGCTTGTAGGCAGGGCAGGTCATATAAAATACATTATGGGAGGACCACAATTGGCATGCGTGTGTGACCAAGAAGAGCAATCTGAACGGTCATAATTAGGTTGTGCATACAGGGACAGGTTGTGGAGCAAGAGTTTGGCTGGGTGGCCAAAAAGCCAACATCTCTGACACTGATAGGGAAGGGGTCAATATAGTATGACAGGGTAGGTCAATGGAGACAATGTTGGAAGAAGAGGGTACTGCCAGAGTAAGGAACTGTAGACAAATCACACACTAAAAGCCACTAGGCTAAAGAGGGTATTTAAAAACTTTGTAGAGGTAGAAGCAATAGAATGACAAAGGTGGGAGGGAGATACTATATGCAATATTATTTTCTCTTTCTGCACAATCCCTTTTAGCCTTTTGACATTTTCTAGTGTCCATATTTGTCATTTGATGTGCCTTATGCAGATGGTAATCAACTGTTTTCCTTGCACAAACTCCACCTCCCTATTGATAATTCACAACTCAGTACAATAATAACATTCAGCAACATTGTTAATGAATTCTTTTTTTTGTTTTTTTCTTCTTCTTTTTTTTTTGGAAATATTAAATTTTCTGTAACACAAGCCAGGAACAGGGATCCCAAACACGGGAATAGCCCTTTCCTGAATGACATACGAGTCTAATCGGCCTCCAAGAGATTCGTGCACTCATGGCGAGTATTTCTCACCACTCCAAACTTTCAGCCAAAACACTAAGGATGGCGAGTTCACATCACCCAGTCCACACCCAAACTTTCCCATAACATCGAGTTCGCCTCCACCCCCCACACCCAAACTTTCCCATAACATCGAGTTCACCCCCACCCCCCCAAGCCAAGTTTTTTCACAACACGAGGGTCAGGTCATCCTGATTCCGGGGGTTTACAGGTGCCATATATGTACATGCTATGGTATGCCTCAACTGGGTGTCATATACATAAATACCATGGTGCCAATCCCATATTCCAGTTTTTTGGTACTGAAAATGCGAGGTAGTTTTTAACACTTTCTCAGTTTTCCTATAATTTACATTTCGTAAGTGTTTCTCGGGCTCCCATGGTTAGCGTCTGTTAAATTATGTCAGCAATTGCAATTGAAATGTGTGCATGTATGTACCTGTGTATGGAGGAAGTGAAGAAAAAGAAAAAAAGAAAAAAGAAAAAAGGAAAGGAATAGAAGAAAAAAAGGAATAGAAGAAAAAAAAGGAAAAGAAGAAAAAAAAGGAAAAGAAGAAAAAAAAGGAAAAGAAGAAAAAAAAGGAAAAGAAGAAAAAAAAGGAAAAGAAGAAAAAAAAGGAAAAGAAGAAAAAAAAGGAAAAGAAGAAAAAAAAGGAAAAGAAGAAAAAAAGGAAAAGAAGAAAAAAAGGAAAAGAAGAAAAAAAGGAAAAGAAGAAAAAAAGGAAAAGAAGAAAAAAAGGAAAAGAAGAAAAAAAGAAAAGAAAAGAAAAGAAAAGAAAAAAAAAAAAAAAAAAAAAAAAAAAAAAAAAAAAAAAAAAAAAAAAAAGCGCTACAAACAAGGCTTTTGTAGTTGAACAAGGTAAAGGGGAACATGGCAGTTAACTTGTGTAAAGCGCGCAAACTAGTGACATGGAGCTTCCTGATCAGATGGATACTTCAGAAAATAACCCTCTTGATTTATCAGAAGCATCACCAACATATATCTACAAATATAATAATATGAATGCATAATACTACACTAGCCTGGGAAATTTATATCCACCATATAAAGCAATGTAATCCATGTGAAAATATTGACGCATACTTCATCAAATAAAAGAAATTACAGTCTGAGCACTTTATACACTAATATGGAGTGAATATGACCCTTAAAAAATAACTATCATGTTATATCAGCAATACCAACATAAACTTACAAGTGTGATCCATATATATATATAATCACAAATATCTAACTCACACTGAGCAGAGAAATTGAAACCTTATAATCCCATGATATCACTTACTGCTTACTTAATTCAGAGTAAAGAACAAAGAGTTTATACAATGAAAACAATATTCTACATTCTTAACTTATCAAAAAATACTGCAAATACAGATTTAGAAAATAATATCACCAAAAAATACAAAATGTTACAAAGAAAAGTCTAGGAATGCTGCAACTTGTGTGAACAGCTGCGCACACTAGGGTGATGGCACAATCCCCGTGGCTGGGCCCTGCCTGCTATGTACACCACCCAGGATGAAGGGTTTGTGTGTCAGAAAATCGCTAAACTTTCCCCTACTAACTTGGTCACTGGACCGTAATTTACAACAGTAAAATCTGGCTCATAAATTTATTAAATTACACAAATACCACACAAATTTTGGCTTATAAATACATAGAATTACACATTGATTGCATAATCAAAAAGATCTGAGCTTTGACCTACCTGTCTAATACAAGCAATAAAAATAAATGTACTTTCACTGCAAATTTACAAAATAGTATGAATTCACTCACACTTTCAAACTTCAAAAATGGAAAATCCCTTTTATCAACCCCTTGATGACGGCTGAAATTTTTTTTTTTTTTAACTCTACACTCTGGAGATCAATGGCAATGTGCGTAGGAATTCGGTACATCAAGCCAAATTACCGGCTCCAAGCACTTTGGTGCGCCACCACAGCGTACAGCCGCACACCACAGATCAAGCAATTTGTTTTGACGCCTCATTGCGTGACCCATCAGGAAGGGGTTAAAAAGATTTACAAATATATATATATACATCTGATGCCTAAACATGTAAAGGTGCTTTGCCAATAGGAGAACAGCCAGTTTTGACTTTTGTATCAGAATCACATGCCAACACCAGTGAGGTGTGTGTGTTTCAGATGCAGAAGTCAAAACAGGTGATTCACGTTCCCAATGCAGACCAATGGTGACCATGGTTGCTGTGTACAAATAAAGATCAAGATCTTAAGAAAAACTTACCTCAAGAGGAGCATAATCATGATTGATGAGGAGAGACAGGATTACTGTGGGAACGAGCAGGAACTCAATGCGGAACGTATCATGGTTGTGGTCATAGGTGGCCTTGAAGCGTACGTACATCAGATACAGTGTCGCATATGAGGTGGCCAAGAAGATTACCTGTAGAGAACAGTCATATTTTAGTTGCCTTCTTACTGATATTAACCCAATGACAACAGTTTTCCCTATATTACACCAAGCCATGAACCAGGCTGTGCATAGAGTCAACCAGTGAAGTGGAAACTTAGAACAGAGAACAATGTTCTAATATCCGAGTCTAATAAGCTTTAACCCTACTTGTGAGGCGCTGAAGCTCCTGAGCAGTTGCACTCTGAGCCAAACAACTGTTTAGTGCACACAAGTTGCAACAGCCACTGGGTTCAGTTGGTTATGGCAAGAAAGAATTCACACCAAGCAGTCAAATAAAATTTCATTAATATCATTCAACCTATCTCCCTACATTCTTTTTGAACACCCTCAATGATGGTATCAGAAAGACCTCAGCTTCACTGATTCCAGTGACTTTTGGCAACCATCCAGCCATTAGGCCCAGGTGTCAGCTATGTGTAGCAGAAGTTCCCATGACAAACATAGTGCATCAAGATACCTATAGTTGTACCCGTCATGATGAGTTGATTTGTTATGATGGCTATAGGCATATGGCCCAGCAGTACCCTCCTGCTATGAATTCCAACTTTTGCACAAGAACTAAAACATATACAATGTTTTTTAAACCTATAACAGCACTTTCCTTTCCTAATATGAACTATCATTTTGCTTTTAAATAAACAAAAATAAATGTCTAATATTATGTATAAAAACTAAAGTATTTTAACCGACAATATATTTTACAGTAAATGTAACACAGGTATGTCTAGTAAGAAAATAAACAAGCCATTCTCACATAATGTATATGAATATGGAACTGGTAGGTATCAGGTTTTATAACTACTTACCTTCATGGACGAATTATAGAGCGAGATGTAATTGGTAAACAGATCCAAGTAGCGTGTAGTATAAGTCAGAGTGAAGAGCAGTTGTGATTTGCCAGATATACCTGTAAAGGTAGAAAATAACTTTCATAATATGCAACAAAATCAGTGTCATTCATGTACTTTCATTATTTGCTATTACAAACTCTTACTCTAAACCAAATGTCAGTAATCATACATAAAATATACATATAAACACAATATTTCATTCTGAGTCATACTGATCTATATCAAATAACAACCGACTCTTCCAAAAACCTACTTGAAAGTTAAAAGATCAGTTACTACTGAAACCGTTAACAGTAATAAAACCAAAGTAATCTAAAATCACCAAGTAGCAATAACACAAACATGATATTAATTCCTTTTCCATTGCTGTAACTATATTCTCTAACAATACATGATTTACAACATTACTTGGTTTGGCTAAATAATGTAAATTAGTGCCTCAAAACACTGTGTAGCTCGCACCCTTAAATTTAATTGACTTTAATTTCCCTATTTTTCTTTTTATGGGGTTTCTGGGAGGAGAGAGGACATAGGCCCTAAACCCCCACTTGTGCATGCCAATTGATTCTGGAGAAATACCTGTAAAAATAAATCTATTTTATAATTCTAGTATCAGACCTATCCTGGGTTTAAACAGGCCAACACTCAACATTGAGAAAATGACAGCTGAATTACGGCGATCATTATGCATGCTCCCTTGGAAAGAAAAGGAGAAAAGGGGAAAAACTGAACAACTGGATTCAATAAGCCTTTAAAACCAGCAGACTTGGGACAAGCAGAAAGGACACGGGAGGGAACTTTGGTAAATTTGCATTTTTGACTCCTTAGATTAGGGAATTTATTTTTACCATTCAAACAATTCTGAAAATCACCAGCTGACTATAACCCCCCCATCCCCTCTCCCCTTCCTCCAGGCAACAATCTTGAAGAAAAGCACTGGAATTCAAGGTTTTGGGAGGAGGATAATTATCAGAAACAGTTCCACTAAATATCATCAGCAAGCGGATTTCTCCCTCCCAAAGGTTCACTGTGACAACGAAACTAAACCTACAAAACTAACTTTCTTACTCGAGCCACACCATCAGTCCTACAGTATTCCTAGTTAGGAAAATTATGCTGTTGAATATAACAATTTGTCTGAACATATTGGTGAAGATTTGTAATTATAAAGGAAGTCATTATGTTACTTATTAATAATTCTAGTGAATGGCTTTGGGAGAATTATGTTTTAATGAACTCTCAAATCTTCAATAATATATTGGTCAAAAAAAGCAATAAAACAACAACAGGTAATTCCTAATTAAGGCTATCCTGCAAACCCAAACTTCCAAACTAAACTTTTCCTACCTTCTATTTATACCCCTAACAGGTAGGCAAACCCCCTGTACCCCCCTTAAATACCCGTTCATGCCAAATTACAGAAAACACGACATAAAGAACTCTGGCTGTGTGAGGGTACTGTAGACTTAGTCTCTGAGCAGTGCCGTGCAGCAGATATTTTTGTAATTTCGCAATAAATATGAGGTCGCTGCAGCCGTACCTGTGTTGTCTATTACACTATTCCAATGCTCTGTAAGATGGCAGTGTCCATTTCCTTCCATCTCTGTGCGTCAAAGACATCAACCTCAGTCCAATACCCAATATCACAATTCTATCAACAATCCAAGCTGCCTTGACTATACATGCTCAATTGTTCAAGTGAAGAGTTGATGACAGGCTCAACCCACCCCCCCCACCACCACATTGCCTTCACCTCGGTATGTGCGGCAAGATAACGCCAAAACCCGGGAGAATATGAGTGGACTTAGGTGAAGAATGTGGAAACTGAAGATGACATAACCTTTTTTTTTAATTTCTAATATATCAAAGGGTAGAATTTAAGGACTACACACCTGTTCCTCCGGCCACTCTTGAGAATCCGCTAACAATCGCCGTCAGAACCAAAAGCCTTCCTGCGCCTGGTACTTCTCCCCACCATTTCCCACCCGCTCGCCGTGTCTGCCTACCAAACCCCCCCAACCCCTGCCTGGTGAATTGCCTCTGGCGCATGACATACCTCCTTCATTTCTGAGGTTATTCCTATCCTGGACGCATAGTTTCATGGATCGGAGTGTAGCTTCTCCCTTTCTGCACAAGCAACATTAGATTCTACCCAACTCAGCGCCGCCATTATCCGACACCACTCCATTCCTTCAGAGCGATCCCTGAGGGGGTTAAGGCACAGCCCTCGCCAAACAGTCAGGTCTTTCCGCTTCCTGGACATTCTCCGACCTCCTTTACCTCTAAGACAAACATTAAATCCAAAACGGTGTGTGAATATTGTTTTTTTAACATCCTTTCCAACCAACAAACACGACAAGAAGGAAATAAGATTTAGGACACCAGCCCCGAGTTACGGTCCATCTTGCTTGACATTTAGACGTGATTCAGACTCCAAGGGTGAAACTTGTGCCCTGGCTTCCGCTCCTTTGAGTGACTGGCCCGATTCCTTCCGTCAAGAGCTTACTTTATGTCATGAAAGCACGTGCTTGATTCCTCCCTTGTGGGTCGCGCCTGAACAAAGCCAAAAAAAAAAAAATTATGACAGCAGCATTAGAACGGGAAATAAGGCGTCCAGGACGATGGTTCGAGGTTCCTCCTTCGCGGCTTCCAGCGGGCACGAGCTCGGGGCACGCCCTTGGCCTCTCGTGCCCGCCGCCCGCCCTCCGTGGGGCACTTCCCTCCCTCAGCAAAGAAACATGGAAACGTCACCTGGTCGGGTCTTCACCGCCTCCGCCAACACACCGGGATCCGCTCCGTCCCTCGCGCTTTTCTCTCCCCCCGCAGCCTCCCCGCCACGTACCTGCGCATGATCGACTGGTCCAGATCTTCAGCAGCAAGATGATAATGGCCAATAAGTGGGAAATATCCCCGGCTAGCCTGAAAACGTTCATGTTGTCTCCTTCGCGCTCCGTCTGCTCGGGGAGTGACGTGGCTCCTGCGCTGCCGCCGCCGCCGACAGAGGGCAGCACCGCTCGCTCCGCCTCGCCGGGCTCGCGAGGGAAACATTATTCTAGGCCTATTTCGAGGGGGGGAGGGGGGAGGGGGAGGGAGAGGGTAACAAGTGTCATTCGGGAAATTATTTTCGGCCTATTTTGCTGGGGGGAGGGGGAGGATGGGGAGGAAGGGGAGGGGGAGGGGAGGATGAGGGGGGGAGGGGGAAGGAGGACGTGGGTTGGGGAAATTGGGAAGGAGGAGGAGGAGGGGGGGATTGGTTTTTTGGTAGGGAGGGGGGGGGGGAAGGAGGAGGAGGAGGGACGTGGGTTGGGAAAAATTGGGGGCGTTTCAGAAGAAGAAGGAGGAGGAGGAAGGGGGGGGGGATTGGGTTTTTAGTGTGGGTCTTGGGGTAAAGGGGTGGGGGTGGGGGTGGGGGAGTTATATCGAGGTTTCAGCGAGGATAAAAAAAAAATATATATATATATATATATATATATATATATATATATATATATATATATATATATATATATATACGTTAGAGATCATGCTCCACTTGACACTCTTATTATACGAGCTCCTACCTATAACCTAATGATTTTCATGATACCTGCCAAATAAAAGCTCTCTTTACTGTAAGACATGCCTGAAATCATCGAAATCTATTAATAGATGTTTCTGTTGATTACTAATTTCCTCGTGAAATACGTACATGATAGGATAGCATACACTGAAGAAGAAAAAAACTGATAGTTAAATAAAAAAAATGATACGAAAAAAGTCATATTAACGAAATAGATATTGCAGTTTATTTCTTCATGAATTTTAGCACTATAATAAACAAACTATTCTCCATAGCAGACTAGTCGATTTGTATAAGACCTTTTCTATAGTTCATATGAAGTACTTTTATTCTTAAACAGATCATTCGAACATGATAGTCAGTATTAAAACTGGGTCAGGTGCACTAAACTGTACCTGATATCAGTATAACAATATGAGAACAAACGCTTAATCTATTGACCTATTTAGAACATTTGATCCAATAATATGATCTATTACCCAAGAAAAAAAAACATAATTAAGAAAAAACGGGCAACGTTAGATGTTTATTGACCCTTGACCCCTACCGTGCCCTCCAACGTACCTCCCCCTCCCCCTCATGCCCATATACCCC